CTGCTATCGTAATTCCAAGAATCTTGCGTTTGAAGGGGGGTCTGGGCCACTTCCTCCTGGGCGCGGCCACCTGGGGGGCGCCGTCTGAGCCCCCATGTAATACGTGCTCTGTTGCGGCGTTGCGTGCTGGAGCGCGGTGCTGGAGTCGCGGCGACGGCGCGGGATGAATTTCCCATATCTCGTGGCTGCAACCCCGCACGATGCCGCCACAGGCGTGCTGATCGTGAGGTTCGGACCTGGCTCGATCATGTTTGGTGGACTCTTCCGGCTGATTGTTGAAATCGTTTCTGGGCTCATGGGCGGGGCAACTGAGAACCCAGAATTCCTGCTGGAAGCCGGCGTCGGTGAGAACGGTGCTGCTACAATTTCCATGGGAATGCTGTCGAGATACGGCCCGTAAATTTCCGCCGGCCCCTTCCAAGCGTGGTCCCAGAATATCCCTCGTGAGACCCCGTCGCGCTCATCGCAGGTGGGATCGAATAATACCCGCTGCAACCTACTGTCGATGCCATGCCATGCGCCGCTGTCGAAGGCAAGCCGCGCGAGTACCCGTTACAGAACTGCATTCGCGTCGTTGTCGCATGTGCTGCGTGCGCTGGTGTCGGGGGAGCTGCTTTCGATGCGAACGGAGGTGCTGCGTGCGCCGGCGTTGGCAGTGCTACGTGCGCTGCCGTAGGAGATGCTGCGCGCGCTGCTGTCGGAGGTGCTGCGTGCGCTGCTGTCGGAGGTGCTGCGTGCGCTGCTGCATGGCGCTGCAGGATGCGCCCTGATGGCCCCAGCAATCCCCCGAAGAGAAACGAAACAAATGTGAGAGCTCACGGGCGGGGGGCTGGGGCTAGAACCGGACCCTGGCCTGGGCCGGGCAGCCTGGCCAGCGTCGATCCGAGCCTGGCGGTCGCCAGCTCGTGGATGCTAGTCCTCCTTCTAGCCGCCCCCGCGTTCCTGCCCCCCCTGGCCCCCCCCCGGGCTCTGTTTCTGACTTCGCCGGACCGCGTCGGCGCGGCCGCGGCCGTCGACCCGCGGCCGGGTGCAGGGGTCGGTGCTGGGGCCGGGCAGGACAGAGGCGGTGGAGGGATGGGTGATGTTGACATGTGGTTTTGGCGACGCACTCAACAGCATTTGGGCGGCGCCCAGGTCGTTGGCGCTCGCGGCGGCGGCGGGCGTCGGAGAGGGGACATTTCCATCCTCCTCTCGCGCCGGCGGCGGTGCCGGGGCAGACGGCGCTCGCGCCGACGGAACATAACTGGGCTGGGCCATAACATAACGGAACATATATATTCTCTATTCCACTGCGGTCCTGGGCTAGCGCCACAGATCGTCGATGGCGGCGCAGGCGCCGCGCGTCCGCGAAGCGAGTCCCGGATCTGGCACCTGGCGCTGTCGAAGCTCACGATGGCGCCCTGGCTCGTGTAGTTCGCGAAGCTGCCGGCGCCGAGCCCTCCTGGCAGGCTTCCAGCTCCTACTGCGGATCCTCTTTGCACGCCTACGCGCACGGCCCGTTGTGGAGTCGTCGTCGCGTTGTTGCCGCGGTCGACTCCTGGTCCTCGCGGTCTTTCTCCTGGTGCACCTGATGGCGTTGGAGCTGTGCCTTCCTGCTTCTCCTCTCCTCATCCTCCTGCGTCTCCCTGACGTGTACATGCGCTCCGTGCCTAGCTGTAGGGCGCCCTGGGAGTCGTCTGCCTGGTCCTTGAAGTCGTGCGCGCGCTGCGGGCACTCCTTTACGACGTGGCCGCCTGGCCTTTTGCAAGTGTAACAGAAGTTCTCGCTGCTGAGGCACTCCCTGGCCAAATGCTCAGGCCTGCCGCACCTGGCTGCCTTGCGAGGTCTCTTCTTCGCGCAATGATTGTTGAACCGCCCCCGCCCCTCGAAGAACGCTCTGAGGTCCTCGTCAAAAGCGCGCCCCAGCGACTCGAGCGCGTCGTGGATGAAGAAACCCATCCGCGGCGTGTCGCCTGGATGCCTCGGAGGCCCCCGCCTGGTGTACTTCTTTGCGCCGAACCGCCCCTCGAGTGTTTGATGCTGCGGTCAAAGTCAAAGGTGGCCCGCGGCGGAGCGGCGGCAACTCTCCGCCGCCCTGGCCCCCCGCCAGACTGACGCGAGGCAGCGGGAATCGTCTAGGGCAGCATGCCGCTCGGCACCAAGGCGCTCCTCGGACCAAGGGCCCTCCGAGGCTTCACGGCCCCGCCCCTCCGTGTCTGTGCCCCGCCCACCTTCGCTGAAGTCGTCTTCGTCATCAGCTGCTTGGCCCGCGTCGTCGTAGCAAGCGCCCTGGGGCCGCTCGGTGGCTGGCCCGCGGCCGCTGCCAATGCTTCGCCGGTCGCAGTCGTTGGCGATGGCAAGGTAAAGCGGCACGGGCTCCACCTCGTCAGAGAAGTAGAGACCCACGTGGGCCCCTGGCTAGTGAGACCTTCAATGGAGGACATTGGCGTTGTCTTCTATGGCTCGGTCGCGCAGGAGACGGCCTTATACCTGGGCGTACTCTGCCTCTGTACGTGGGAGCCGTCCGCCGTTCTCCTTCAGGATGTCTGCCCACTTCCTGGCTGGGAGCCGCAGCAGACTCAACGGCAGTCAGGTTCGGAACGGGACGCTGTCGGCGGCAGTGTTCGCGCGGTCCAGGAGCACGTCGAAACGCATATGCGTGAAACTGAGATCTTCGTCGCGCGCTGGCGCGACACAGAAGAAGCCGAAGCCTGTTCGCCATGTGCTGGCCTCAGCGTTTGGCGGGAGCAGGGTCGACGGCAATATGTCGACGCGCGTATGTTTTACGCACGCGGGCGCCACCCCCCATGTCCACTTCGGCTCCGTGCTGGTGCACCCAAATGGGGATCTCGTATGCCGCCGTGCGCGCGGCAATTCTCAGCGCCAGCGAGATGAGCGGTCTTTGTCGCTCGGCTGGAATTTGGTGGCGGCCTGCCCCTTCCTAGCGTCTTTGCTCCACTCTACCACGCTGTGCGGGTAGGTTGGGTCCGCCTCCAACTCTGGAGACCACCATGGAGGAGTCTCCGCGGTGGCTACGGCTGTTCCCTGCCACTACTGCAAGGGCTGGGCGCCGTACAGGTGAGGCTGTCTGCTCTTCGCGTGCTGTGCGCCTGGAATCGCCATGGTTCTTCTCACGGATTCAGAAAGCCACTGACGGTGGAGTAGGCGAGCGTGACCAGTCGGGTGTCGCAGACCTCACTGGTGAAGGTGAAAGCTCGGGCTCTTCCTTGAACACGAGCCCGGTCGTCACTCTGACCTGCCGGCGGCAGGCTTCCGAGTGAGGTTCCCAGGGTGGGCAACTGCACGTCCGCGTGTCCCGCTCGTACTCGACCTCGAGTCTTCTTTGTGCTCGCTCCCACGTTTTCTCTGCAGAATGATTCTGGTGACGTCTCGGGCCCATGCAAGGCCTTCAATGGGTACGTGCCGTGAATATTCGCGTTGGCGGGCGAGGCACCCTTCAATGTCCAGCCCGGAAACGGATCAGGAAGCTTTCAATTTCCGCTTCTTAACCAGAGTTCGAACACTGGAGGGCGCTCCAGAAAAGAACAGCACTGATAATGATAACCATGATGTGGAATACATTTAAAACAAAATGAAGGGACAGATGTTCTGCAATAAAGATTTGTAGTTTGCTGGGCAGTCGCTTTGACCAGTTGGCTTGAGCTAGGGGGCGACGGAACGCACAGCAGAAGACATGGGGGTTTATGCAAATATCCCTTTCGACTGGAGGGGGGCCGAAACAAGGAAGGACAAAGAGTTTTTCAGGACGAGGAGGGACCAGAAGGCGACAATGAGAAGGACGAGGAGTGTTGACGGAAGAGGAGATGGAAGAGAAAAAGGAAGGAGAGGAATGACGAGGGATGAGGAGTTGCCCCCCCAGCCCATCCCCGCCAGTGGGCAGGTCAAAATTGATGACGTGGTCGATGCCCGGCAAGTCCTGTCCAGGAGAACAGATGGCTTGTTCCAGAAACCCGGGGCCGAGAAAATGTGCATCTCCTGGACCGTCGATTGTACTCCCGCGGGCTTCCGCAGGCCTTCCGCTGGCGGAGCCGCCCCCGCTCTTGTTCGGCAAGTCTTCCGCCAGCTTCCGCCGAAGGCGAAGCCGTTTCTAGAGCGCCCCGAATGCACTTCCGACACCGTCCCCCCCGTGGAAGCGCTGAGGCGCTCTTGCAGCCTCCTTTCGGGTGTTGCTAGAAGTGCCCCTGTCTGAAGGTGCCCCCAGGATTCTCGAGTGAGCCCAGATGGCCTCCAGAGCACCCCTCACGAGGTCCAGAGGGCCCCAGGGGCTCCAAAATGGAGTGAGCAGCTGGGGCCGCCTTGGGCCAGGGGCACCTCTGGCAACCCCCGATCCATGGACCCCTCGGAAGCCCCCCGGAGGGCATCCGCGTCGAAGGCCTCCCCGGGGGCGCCGACGACCTTCCAATCAGGGGGGAGGGCAGCGGGGGCAGATAGGGCTCGGGCAGCGAGGGCGAGCACGAGGGGTGCTCGACCCCCTGGAAGACGCCACGAAGGGGGGCCCAGGGAGACACAAATAAATGGACACAAACTCGAGGATCCGCCATGGTTTTTATACTTTGTAGACTCTCGTCTTCCCCTCCAGGCACCATATTTTCCCGAATTTTCCGGAAGTCGATAACTACTTGTGTCTGTGCCTACCTTTCCCTCCTGAGCCACCCCTGCCGCCTTGAGGAGGACGAGGAAGATGCGATAGTGTCTAATGGAGGATTGCACGGGTGCCCATTTCACAAAACCCCGTCGTCCTGACGGCTGATTTGGGCCGTGCAGTGAACATATTACCCCCCCACGTCCCAGAGGGGGGCCCGGTTGTTCTCTATCCCGCCACGATCACCCAGGCCACGCTACGGCTTACTGTTGGCTCGTGCGGTGTTCCTGGCCCCATGGCGGCCACCCATCCCAAGCCCTGGCGCCGACCACGCCGAGGCGAGATCCATTGGTCCAAGCTGGGGGAGGGGGGCGCCACGCCAGTCCATGCGAGGTCGCCGCTTCCAATTTCTAGGGCATCAGGACGGGCGCATCTGACCAGGGAGCCCACCGAGGGCACCGCGCCAACAGTTCCCGACACCGCCTGACCTCAGACTTCTGCACGGAGCAGGGGAGAAAGAGCGGGCGAGGAGGGAACGGAGTGAGAGAGGACAGGAGGTCGTCGGCGCCCCGAGGCGGGGGGTGGTGGGCGGGCTTCTCGGCAGGAGGTCCAGGCCGCGCGCGGCGACCTCTGTGGCGACCAACACCTGGGACCGCCCTCTCTTGATCTCGTCGATGGCCCTGTTGCGGTCCTCCTGCCGCTTGTCGCCATGGATCCCGATGGCGCGGAAGTTGGAATGTCTGTTGATGTGATACACAATGTTGTCGACGGTGGCCTTTGAGCAGGGGGGCCAGGACAAGCTGGCGTTTGGCGCGCCCGTCCTGTTTCGTTGGTCGTGCCTTCGGGGCGGAGGATGCCCGAGGGACTGCCCGAAGTAGCGCTCCTTGACGCCTCCGGACCCAGACATCCCGCGGCCTGACTTTTCCGAGACATGGGCCCCTGGATAGATCGATCCCTGCCCTGGGGCTGGCTTTTCATCCTGAAGCGTTTTTTGTAGTTGTGCTGAATTGTCTCCAGTACCGCTCGTTACCCAGGGGGGGGGCCGGTTGACGACAACGCTTGGGCGGGGTGTGGCACGTCCAGGCGATGGTGCGCTGCGACCGCCATAGTATGTGCGTGAGCACATGCGGGGGGCCCAGCCCCCACTCCCCACGTACGACCGTTACCACTGCCCGGAGAGAGGGGGGGGGGGACGACTGTTACGCGCCAGAGGATAGAAACAAGAAATCAATATCCATGACGGCCCGCGGTCGGAAACCTGCCCCATGAAGACCGAACGTTGAAAACCCGCCGTCTCGATCCTCCCGAGCCGCTGGCGCCCGATCGAGAACAGAACGAATAAGAAAGCGGTCGGCGTGATGGCCCACAACAAGCAGCGGTTTGGTCGGCCACTCGCCTTCATGTTCGCAAACACGATGGTCTTCGGCTCGCCGTCTGTCCCGGTGACCGACTCCAGCGTAGGGATCAGTTTCTCGAACTTGTCTCCCCAGCCGATGTCCTCGTCCGATGTCTCCTCCTCCTTTTCCTCCCCCCTCCTCTCCTTCCTCCTCTCGCTTATCCTCCTCCTTCTCCTCCTTTCCCTCCTCGAAGCTCCCGACGTAGACATTTTGTGTTTAACGACTCGTTGCATGCTTTGGGGGTTGCAGCCCCAAGGCAAGAATGGATACCGCTGGTCCGCGGCTCGGTATCACCTAGTTGTGCAACCCCGACTTGGCCGTGCGCTGGTCTGTGGCCAAGTTTCCCTGCTGAGGCCATCTTGTACCTTGCCCTCTTCCAGCGATGAGGCTTCGAGGCGCCACGATGGCCTCAACCCGCCGATAGCAGGAGGCCGAGTCCTGGCACTGCAAGTGGTGTGCTCATGACGTCACTGGGCTCCAATGGTTAGATGCAGGTGGGCTGATCTGCTGCAAGAAATGCCACCTGCACAAGGGCAGCTGCCTTGAGAAACACAAGCGCTCTGGAGAGTCTAGCGTCCTCCTCGAGAACTAAGGACATCCCGCATGTGGAGGACAGCGCGCTGGCAGCACAGTGCGCCGAGCTCGACGCCCAGCTGAAGTAGTCACGTCAAGCTACGCCTGCTGCTGATGCTGCCGCGCAGCCTCCTTCTTGCGAGGTTCTGAAGGTGCTAACAAGAAGCACGCTCGCATTCGACAGCTGGATGGCCTGCACGAGCTGTTGGTCAGACCTGCTGATGCGGATGCCACCACCAAGTTCACGGATGGGCGCTCGCGGCGGGAGGCGGATCTTTTTCAGGGCCAGGCTCATCGAGGAACGGGCTCTGTCCATGGCTTCGCATCGTACAGGCCTCTTCTCAGCGTGAGCAGCAGATTCAGGAAGCGCAAGATGAGCGACACGCGAAAATTCCGGAACTCCAGAAGCCCTGGCAGAGGTGGTGCCAGGCCGAGGCCACGGCCAGCTGGCCAAGTTGGCCAAGGCCACGGCAGAGGTGGTGTCCCGCGGGGAGGAGACCCGCAGGACCATGTCGCAGGTGCAGCCTCCTGCCACAGCAGGCGGTCTGCGGACTTCAGGGCCAGGGGGCGTACACACCACTCCTGGACCCAGGATGGGCCTGGCCAGCGGCGGGGAACATTTCCAGATCTCGCCGCCCTGGACTTGGGCCGCCACGCTGACAGGCGCTGGCGGGCATCGTGCAGCAGCTCGGCCAGCTTTTGCAGCTCGGCCTCGGCCTTGCGCCAGGAGCCAGCCGTTCAGCCGCAGAGACGTTGGGGCTGCACCCGGTGGATATGAGCTGTCCAAGACGCCCCCCACGCGCAGCCGCCTCCGCCTCCCGCGGCCGAGGCGACGGCTGCGGCGGGGGCGAAGGCTGCGGCCGCAGGCGAATTTTTTCCCACGCACCCCAACACGTCGCCAGCGCGCAGCAAACTCCGCGAGACAGCATCAGCCAAGCGGCCAGGACAAGCAAGCGCTACCCGTGACAAACGATTGCCCGGGCATTTGCCCCAACCCGGTGCGACAAAGCGAAACGACGAATGACAACACATTTAGAACCTCGCGGCCGCAAGCGAAGATGGCCCAGCCATGCACGTCGTCGGCTCGTCTCTCGAGGACCTCAAGGTGACCCCCGACGCGGAGGGAGTGCCCCCACGGCAGGTGGCGACACCAACGAATGCGTGCGCGAGGATTCCAACAGAGATTGCAGGCGTATCTGCCGTGTAGCGTGCAGTACGTACGCAACATGTGCAGTACGGTGCTAGTTGCACTTCTCTTTGGCTATGCTGGTATTTCCAGCAACTCCCACATAACGAGGGTGATGGCAGGTGATGCTTCTCAAAATCTGCACGGGGTGATCATCATAGTGAATGCCATGCAATATATTCCTGTCTTTGAATCCGCCACCGTGCCTCTGGCACGAAGTGGAGCGCCCCAAGGTTCATGCAACACTGATGGGGGCTGTGCTGTTGCTGCAGCCAGACCTGTAAATCTTTCATGTGCGGGCCCTGACCAATTGTTTCCCTTGCTTTTTCGGGTCCGCCGGAATCGCTGCGTCGGCCCACCCCGCCTAGGAGGGCCCCACAACGAGTCCGGATGGCTTCAAGAGGCCCAATGGTGTTCAAAGAGGGACCCAAGTCGCCCCAAGATCGATCCAGACGCCCAAGATGGCCTCCCAGATGGCCCAAGAAGCCTCCAAGACGCCACAAGAAGCTTCCAAGAGGCCTCCCAAGAGGGCCCCCAGGGCCCCAAGGTTTTGGGAGGATTGTGACGTTCTCGCATGCTCGGCTTCCCGACGCTCCAAGACGGCCCAAAGGGCCCCCCAAACCACCACAAGACTACCCAAAAGGCCTCCAATAGTGCCCCAATATGGCCTAAGAGCGCCCCAAGACGGCCCAAGAGGCGCCCAAGACGGCCCAAGAGGTCGCCAAGACGGCCCCAGAAGGGGCCTAAGAGAAGGAACACAAACCGAAAATCCGAGCCTTCTGCCCCAAGAAGCCCCCAGGATGTCCCAAGAGGCGCCCGCGAGGCCCCAAGAGGCGCCCAAGCGGCCACAAGAGGCCCCCAAGAAGCCCCAAAGAGGCCCCAAGAGACCCCCAAGAGGCCGAAAAGAGGCCCCAAGAGGTCCCAAAGTGGCTCCCAAAGGCTTCAAAACTGCCTCCAAGAGGCACCCGAGAGGCCCCCCACGAGATCCCAACGAACATCCAATAGGCTTTATACCCGCAACCCAGGCACGGTGGCGGGATGGGCCGAATGCCATTCGATACCTTGCCGAGTACAGAGGTACAGTGGTGCCCGCTCAGAGTTGAGGCTCGTCGAAGATCGGCAGGGCGAATTCTAGAATCGCTGGAATCCTACGAAAGAGGCTGGTTGGTATGATCGCCCAGCTCGTACAACTGCTATCACAGGAACGCCTGCTTCTGCGATGTGTTCTTTTATTGTGTGGGGCGGAAGGGAATAAAACAGAAGGCAAAACGGGAGAGAAGAGAAGACAAGGGTGAAGAACACATGTTTCCGCAATGTGTGGTGGGTTGGCAGCATTGGCGCTCACAACCGTGATGTTCACCGCCCCTCCCGACGATGGAGTACACATCATATATCCTGGAAGGGTAGTTGACGGAAATGAGAAATTGGGGGGGCGGAAGTAGTGCCATCTGCGTGCGTGTTTGCCTAGCTCATGTATAAGCATCGCGGTCGATAACATTGAGATTATGTGGAATCTGGACGTGGCAGCTTGGAACTCGTCCGATCTCGATTGGATTTTAGGCGGAGATAACAACACTGACTTCGTCTCTCGAAGTGCTCAGCACTGGGTTGAGACTGTGGCTGGAGTGTACCGTGTGCCCAATGTCCACACACATTGTGGACAGTGCCACATCCACCATGGGCTACCTCAACACGACCAGCAACCTGATGACCTCCAGAATCGGAACCTGGGAGAGGGCGGTGGTCACTGAGAACTGTGACGCCACTCCGCCTCCACCATACCCTATTGAGCCATAACTCCTGGGACAGAGGTTAGGCTGGCATGGTGCCTGGTGCCTGGTAAGCCGAAGATGTCTGAAAATATTCGGCTGCAGCTATTTCTCCTGTAGATGTGCACCGGCTGCGTAAGCTCGAGCCCTTCCAGGGCAACCAGCACTTGGCCCAAAGTCTGGGACGCCGTGCTCCAATGGCGTCGGGCGCGTGCTGAAGAGGCGCCACGACTTAGTGGGCTCCAAAGCTGCTGGCTACAAACTGGCGGGCCAGCCCAGCCTTTGTAACAAAGGCTGGGCTGGCCCGCCAGTGGCAGGCTTCTTGACAGCCGCCCATGCGCAGGACGTATGAGGAGCCCCGCGACCTGGCCTGGGCCACGGCCAACAAGTACGCCCACCATTCTGCGGGCTGAGCGGAACCGGCTCCGACAGCACTGTGAGCGCTTGCAGCTGTGCTATTTCATGTGTGCCTCACCGATGTAAGATAGCAAAGTGCTGATGGCCTTCGGTGAGGTGGCCGCCTGCTACGGGCGCATTCTCAAGAATACGGAGGTTCTCATGTTTATCGGTCAAAAGCTACAAGCTATTTCCAGCGCGGCGAATCATCCAAGTCGATGCGGATTTCGACGGCATCACGGGCGCCATCGAGGCCCATGCAGGCCACACACCTCAACTCTGGTCAGCGCGCTGCCGAATCGGCCTGGAGGTCATGAGCCAAGGAGGCTATCTTGGGCGGACCGGAAAGCGCAATCCACCTCCAAGGCCCGAGCCAAGCAAGACATTTTGGCGTACTCTCCTGATGCCCATCCACATCAATTTGCTGATCGAACGCTCCGTGCCGACGCCTGGACATTTCACGAGCTCGATGCGCCAAAATTTCATGACAGGGTCCCGTGGTTGCCCCGTGGTTGTCCACGTTAGCTTCCCATAGTTGTCTCGTGGTGGTCCTGCGGGTGTCCCGTCTGTAGATCAATGTACAGACAGCGGAGCCGATAGACGGAAGCGCGATGGATAGACAGATTATGATTGAGATCGGTACACAGGTAATCAGACCGATCACAGGAGTGACAATGAGATCGATGGACACATTTTGAGTCTGACGGGTCGCATGATCGATATATATATATATATATATATATATATATATGTGTGTATTTCTATGCACATATATATATATATATATATATATAGCGAGATCGATCTATTGGCAATGGAACAGGCCGCGTGATTGTTCCGTGGTTGTCCCTGGACCCTCACGTTGTTGTCCCGTGGCTGTTTCGGTGGTTCTCCCGTGGTTCTCCCGTCGTTTTCCTGTGGCTGTCCCGTGGTTGCTCCGTGCCTGTCCCGTGGTTGGCCCCGCCTGACTGTCCCGTAATGATACCGTGCTTGTCCCGTGATTGGCCTGCGATTGCCCCGTGGTAGTCCCGTGGGGGCCCGTGGTTGTCCTGCAACTGTCCCGCCCAATGACCGGGCGATATTTCGATCGTGGACTCGATGAACGGATCATGTGACCGACATGTTAGGGCATCGAGCGGTAGATAGATGGATCGCGAACCCGATCAGCCGCCAATCGCAGAACGAACTCTGCACCCATGTCCCCCCTCCTTGTCACCCGAAGGGTGGTCTTACATGTGTACTCCACTCCACCGATCACGACACCCAAAACTACAAGGTCACAGAGTGCACCTTTTCCGATGTTTCATCCGACCTCAACTTTTTGGCAAACATGGAGAACCGCCGTGAAACTCCTCAACCCTAGCCCTGACCCCAAGCCTTATGCCTACAGCACTACAGCCTATCCATCCTGGACCTCAGCCGCACAGCCCTACCCCGTCAACATCCCAACTGTCACTGGACCTTAGCCCAAGCGCAGGCACTCAGACCTCAGCAATTGTGCAACAGCCCTGACGAACCGTAGCCCCAGCAGATACCATTGGCCTCAAATCCAGCCTCAGCCCTGGCACTCGCCTCCACCCTCCGCTGCTGGCCTAGCGTTCGGTCAGAATGGCCATAACAGCCTCAGACCTTGAGCACACCCTGGCCCGATGCAAGCACCGAAGCGAAGACCACGCACGGGATGCTGCCAACATCGAACGGCCGCTTGCTGGCTGATGGCTCCATGACGACACCAGAGAGCCAAGAGCGAGAAAACTGCCCGCAGTCGGCCAACCGTTCAAGCTCGACCCGAAACGTGGTAACAAACTAGCAATCTGGATAATATTCGAGGGTGTAAGTCGCAGGCTTGCACACGGATCCCCGGAAACCCCGAATATTACTAGGGCGCCCTTTTCGAACCTATGATTTTACAGTCGGACTTCCCTGGACAAGACACGCGAGAGGACAAAAGACCCTTCCGGGGGGCACATTGCCATAGGAATGCAGGAGGCACGGGTCGCGAGACACATGACACAAAGATACCCTTGATTTGGCAGGGTCGACCTAATAATCCGGGCCGACTGTATTGCGCCTCGCCCCGCCTGTACAATTACAGGCGGCAACGGGCGGCGACGGCTGGAACATGGCGAACCCTCGACGCACCCACCCAAGCGGCGAACGGGCGGCAACGGGCGGGAACGTGGCATATCCCCGACGCACCCACCCAAGCGGCAACGGTCGGCGATTGCAACGGGCGGGAACGTGGCGAATTGTCGGCGCAATACCCGCATTCCTTTCAAAGACACGTAGGGACCCCTTAGGGCAAGCACTGGACTGTGCATTGCTGGCGCCGCCTCTCGCGCAATGACCTGTTTCACGGAAAAGGTTTCAATGGTTGATGCCTTAAAGGTTTCAACTGTCTCAGCGTTCTCGGTCCTATGGAATGGCGTTCCCGCTGCAGGGCTGGCAACTTCCAGGACTGACGCCCTGCCCCCGTCGCTCAGTGGCGCTCTCGCCTCAGCGCGGCTCACCTGGTCCGCCTGCTCCTCCTTCTGCTGCTGAAGCTGCTCCTTCTCCTCCTTCTCCTCCTCCTTCCTCATCCTCCTCCTTTTCCTTCTCCTGCTGCTGCTGATCTTCCTCCTCCTTGCGAATGATATTCTTCCTTCCTCATCATCCTCCTGCTGCTGCTGATCCTCCTCCTTCCTCATGACCCTCCTCTTCCTCATGCTCATCCTCAGGTTCAGCCGCCGCCACATCCGCCTCCGATGTCCAATGCCCCGCACCTCCCCTAAAGTTCGCGCATCGCCGGAATGGGGTCAGTTTAGAAATCACAGTCGCCTAGAATTACCCGGTCGGCGGCTGCAAACAACATAACGATTGGAAAGGATGGGCGGGGGGCAGGAAATCAACTATGGCGCGGGCGCGTATGACTTGAATCATTTTTCTCCCACTCTCTCCTCTCGCCTCTCTCCTTTCATCCTTCTTCTGCTCAACGTTTCGACTTGAATGCCTGTTTTCTGGGAAACCTCCGCACGGAATTTCATAATTTGCGACTGTTGTACTCGAGTTCGGATTCCTCCGCGACGTCACGCACGGTCAAGGCAAGCTCCACGACGAACGGGTACTTAACGTGAGCTTCGCGGGATATTCTGTTACTTGGTGCCGAAGCAACTGACATATCCAAACTTCTCATAGATGAGGCGCCCTGGGATTCTCTCCTCAACCTTCCTGATATACTCCTCCACCTCCACCCGCGTGATGCCGTTGGTCCTGCGATTCTTGTTTTCAACAAAAAACACCGCTGTTGAAAAACGTGGGCTCAAACGACGAACCAGTACCACCTCCCGAACCAGGCACCATTTGCTGTGGTAGCGTGCGGTTTCTCCAAGTTATCGATGCGCTTGGTGTGATCTGCCATGGTGCTTTTGATCGTCGCGATGTCTTGTTTAAGTTGGATGCCGTTCTGAACGTGCGTATCCATAGAGGTCTTCGACGCAATCGTAGTCGTTTCAAGATAATTCGTCATTTTGAAAATGTGACCTTGGGCCCAAATCGGCTCACCACTGGCTCACCACTGGTCCCACGGCGCGCCCGATCATACAATTGAAATCGTCCAGAATATCATCACCTTCCCGTTTCCCACCGCATTCCAGCGGCAATGACTCCGAGAAACCAGCTGCCAGAAAATCGATACGGCCAGAGGGGCGGTCACCTCAGCGAGAATGGCTTTCCCCAAATCTGGACGTGCCCCTCTTCCTCATAATTAAGTGTTCATGCGCTCGTTCGGCATAGTGTCGAACACTGTGGCCGATACGAGCGGCCTGCCCCAACGGCACGACGTGAACACACGTTGGCCTACAACGGAAATAGTGTCGGTGCAGCTGCACCCTCCCTCCATCCCCTCCCCCCTCCCTCATCACCCCCGCCCCCCCAGGTTTTCGCCTAAATCTCTCTTCGAATATCCTCCTCCCTCCTCCCCCCTCGCCCCCTTGGACTCTGGAGTTACAAACGAACGTGTTTCGCGGACGCTCGCTTGGGGGAAACCCTTGGACACGTCGGAACCAAAGGGGGGAAACTTCAACATTTGAAACGCTAGAAAAACGGGGGGTCGGGTGGGCAGACGCCGGCCCCTCGCAACGGGAGGGGGGAACCAGGAGGGGGGAGCGCTCCGCCGCCCCCCCCCCCTCCCCCCTCATAGAACCTTATCAGGTGTTCAATCAAGCTTTGATCGGGCTTCTTCCAACTCAAATAGAATCCCGACGAGGCTGGATCCAGCTCGTAGTCGAATCCTAGTAGGCCTCGGTCCACCTCTACTGGCATCGCACTATAGCGGGATCCAACTTGAGTAGCGTCCTAATATGGTTCGATTATCTTCCGCAGCATCCTAGCATCCTAGTCGGGCCCGATCAAACTCCAGTAGACTCCTACTATAGCTGAATACAGCACGAACTGAATGCTACTAAGGCTCGATCCACCTCTTCTAGAATCTGACTCTAGCTGAGCAGCTCTAATTGGATCCTACAAGAGCTCGGTCCAGCTCTAATGGAATCGCACTTGGTGTTCGATCCAGCCTTAAAAACATCCTACTAAGGCTCGGTCGTCGTCGTCGTCGTCGTCGTCGTCGTCGTCGTCGTCGTCGTCGCTGCCCGCTGGCGCCAGCGCCGGCGCTCGCCGTCATCGGTTGCCACTGGGGAAAGTGGGTTGGGGGGGCTACTTGAATCCCCCTCCGCCCTTCTGTTCGAATCCCCCCCCTTGCAGTTCAAGGGGGGGAGCCGGGCTCGAACACCCCTCTTCCCAGCATCCACAGAACGTGCTCTTTCGGAGCTGCATACTACATACAGTCTCGACTCCTCCTGGCTGCGATTTCGTGCATGGCCGATCCGATCCCCCCCCCGTTACCCCCTCACCCTCCCACTCGTCCTCCCCAGACATCTTCCGATATGAATTCTCAGTCTGCGGCACCAAAGCTCCCGACACCCTTCCCGGGTGTAGTGTTGCGTCGCGGATCCGATTTTGATGGCCCTGGGGCCCGAACACTATCACGGGAGGCCGAAATCGAGGAAAAATGCCAGGTTTGAAAAAAAAAAAAAAATCGTCGGAGATATGGGTCCCCAATCCTCGAACCGCTGCTCCACGTCAGCCGCCGCGACACCGACCCTGCCGACGTTGATCTGCATGTAGACGGGGTCCAGGAAGTCCAGGGCCATGTTCTGCATGTCCTTGGGGCAGGGTGACTCCCCCTCCTCCTCCCCCTCCTCCTCCTCCTTCTCCTGGTCCTCCTCCTTCTCCCACTCCTCCTCCTCCTCCTCCTCCTTCTCCTCCTCCTCCTCGTCGTCCTCCTCCGCCTCCTTCTCCTTCTCCTCCTCTTCATCATCACAAACCGTCATTATCATCATCACCACCAACACCATCATCATCATCATCATCATCATCATCATCATCATCATCATCATCATCATCATCAGCATCATCATCAGCAGCATCAGCATCATGATCATCATGATCATCAGCATCATCACCACCATCATCCGCATCATCATCATCATCAGCAGCAGCATCATCATCACCACCACCACCATCATCATCATCACCATCAGCATCATCATCATCATCACCATCATCATCAGCAGCAGTAGCATCATCATCAGCATCATCACCAGCATCGTCATCATCGTCAGCATCGTCACATCGTAATTACCATCAGCATTGTTATCATCATCATCCTCATCCTCACCCTCCTCCTCATCGTCATTAGCATCATCATCATCATCATCATCATCATCATCATCATCATCATCATCATCATCATCATCATCATCATCATCATCATCATCAATCATCCATCATCATCATCATCATCAGCAGCAGCATCATCATCATCATCATCATCATCATCATCATCATCATCATCATCATCATCATCATCTCCTGGCGCGTGCTCCTCCTCCTCCTCCTCCCCCTTTTCCTCACTATCCTTCTCCCTTGTTTCTCTTTATTTCTCCTCCTCCTGATCCTCGTTTTCCTCCTCCTCCTCGTCCTCTTCCCCCTCCTCCTCCGCCCCCAGTCCCTTTCCTAATAATAAACTTTCCCCAGTCGCACCCCGAGGCATGTCGGTAGAATGGGGCAAGCGTTTTGCCTGACACGTCCACACCGATTACGTTCCTGAGCCTTGATGAAACGTGCAAGAATGTCGCGGAATGGGTGGCGGGCCGTCTTCACAAAATGGTTCTCGCCCTAGCGCCACGCACGTTCGTTCTAAACATTTGCAAACAATCGCGGATTGAGGGCGCGCGGTTGTCAAGATTTGACTCTCGCCTCAGCGCCGCACACATTCGTCTGAGAGTGTGCAAGAGCTTCATTGATGGAGGGTGGTTCTTTTTCAGCATGTGGTTCTCGCCGTAGGACCGCGGTCACTCTTCTCAGTAGTCTGCAACAATTTCTAAGACTCTTATGGCTGGCGTCCCAAAAATGGTTTACGCACGATGTAGGACCGTCAGGGCGCGAAAGTAATTGATTCGGGGTGTCGTTGAAGTCCCAGGAACGGCGCTTTGGTATGATTCAAGATCGCCAGGACGCAACAGTGACGTTTTTTTCGCGGCGTTGACATCCCAAGAACGGTTCTGGCACGGTTCAAGACTTTCAAACAAATGTCTTCCAACGGGGCATTACCCTCAGTGAAAATCAATCCTTGTAGGGACCTTTGCAAGAGTATCTGGGAGGGAGGGCTGGGAAAATCGTTGATGGGTCTTGGGTTTGCACTGGTCCTCCTCCTTCTCCTCCTCTTCCTCCTCTCCCTCTCCGGTCTCACCCGTCAGCTCTTCATCCTCCCCCAGCACACTCCCAAAATCCCCCCATCCCCTCTGGAAGGGGGCGGAGGGGGGGAGGGGCGGCGCTCAGCCTCCGGCGCTGGCGGCGCGCGGCACGCGGTAGCAGCAAGGGGGCAGAGGCAAGAGTCGAAGCGGGCCAGCTCGAACGAGTCGGCGGGCCCCGCCTCCCTCAAGCACAAGCAGGGTGAGGACGAACAACGCAAGACGCGCGAGTCTGCCAGCCAGCTGGCCCTCACGAGCGGCGCGAGTGGGCCAGAGCCCTCTCGGGTATCATGTTTCGGTGAACTTCAGGGAGAAGAGGCGGAGGAGGAGGAGGAGGAGGAGGAGGAGGAGGAGGAGGAGGAGGAACAACGCGCGCACAAAGGACCCAAGAGGGGGAACGGGAGGTCCCACATTCCCTACCGATCGGGGGGCGGCGGGAGGGCGCGCGCTGGTGCAACAAATTGTTCGATATGTAGATGCCACTGACAATGCGCGCCGCTTTTAGCTGCTGGTTCCCTGGGAATTCCGCGCTGGAGCGGCTTCGAAGCATCAGTATTAGGCTCGTCCGCTCCGCCATCCGCGCACGGTCGACCCCCCGCTATGCGGCAGGGCTCGGCCGGCTCTTGGGCCCCCCAAAGCGGGGCGGGTGGGGTGGGCCAAAGGCCCTCGCCGCGCCCCACGCCCTCGCCACCTCCGAACGCCGACCCGACGCGGAACGTCTGTGCGAGGCCAGAACTTGTGCACGTCCGCCGCCCTGGGAGCCGATGTCCAAGGACCCCATAGGCGGCAGTGGGTGTGCCTCGGCAACTCAAGCGCCCATGCACTACCCATGTTACAACGAGGGCGTGAAGTAGGGAACCGTCGGATAAGGAATCCAGGAGCTGGAAGCTGGTGGGACTCCAATCGTGCATTGGCAATGGATATCACCGGCGCCCTCATCAGAGAATAAATCCTCCCGGGTCTGAAGCCTTCGGAGTACATTCCTTAACCTGTATAGTTCTTCAGAACCCGTCAATCGTGGAAACGACTTGTCTTTTCGACGCCATGATTGGCGGACTGGGACTCTACCGCTAATTGAAAATAACCATTTACCCGCGGCGCCGGCCGCGCAACAACTATGATAACGACTACGACTACGATTGCGACTACGACCAAATACGCTGATTGAACATGCAATACTTGTGAGAAGATGCTCGCAAATCCTCTCGCACGTAGGGTGGCCCACTATGGATTATTTCCGGGGAGGAAAAACCACCCAACATTATCCAGCCCGCCCAACAGCAGTGGACGTCTACGACAGCGACCACGAGGAGCAGCAGGAGGAGGATGGATGGATGGGACATCATCGAAGAGGCCCTGGCGGCCGCCATCAAGCTGACGACCGCCAGGGCCCCAGGTGTCGAAGAGTCCGCTACCCGGGGACGGAAGCACGCCCCGCGCGTGGCCGACGCGCCGCCCTCGGCGGCGCCAGAGGCGCGTCCGCCCGCTCCTCGCCACCGCGCGCAGCCTGGGGGGGGCGGCAGGGACCCCCTCAAGCGGCAGGTGGGGGGGGGGCCCTCTGGGCGGCGGGGAAACTGCGTCTTGCCGCGGATGCGCCATCGCATGCCGCCCCCGCGAGCTCCGCGAGCCTGTCTTTCAGCTGAATCGATGGCGATGGCGAGGGGGGCGGCGGAGCACTGCGGTGGGGGCCTCTGGAGGGGGCGCGGCCACTCGACCTGGCGCGGGCCGCAGGCGGAAACCGCGCCGGCCGCTCAGCGGCGGCGAGCCGTGCAGGGCGACCGCGTCTCCAAGCTTCCTCGCGCGGCTCGCTGGCCCCCCCCTGCCTCATCCTAGCCCCCTCTTGCGCCGTGTCCTCGAAGAGGGCGCGGAACGGCTCCGTCGCGAGGAAGTCGGACATCTCCTCGGCGCAGCGCGCCACCCACCCGCCGCGCCCCTCGTCGCGCCTGGCCGAGCCATGGGTCCACGCCCAGCGAGGTCAGCCAGCCCGTCGAGGAAGCGCTCGAGCCGCTGCTCTGCCTGGTGCGCATAAAAGTCCGCGGCCGCGGCTGGCGGGCTAAATCGCAGGACCCGCGTCCACGAGCAGCGCGCCCCCCCCCCCCCCCCCCCCCCCCTCGGGGCTCCAGCTCGACGCGGCGACTTCGAGCCCGAAGTGTTCCCTCGCGCGGGGGCTGCCTCGGAGCTTCGCGGACTCGGCCCCTCCAACACGGCGTGGCGACGTTGAGCCCGAGGTGTCCCATCACTTCTGGGCTTCCCCAAAACTTTGGGTCGCCCTGCCGCCGCTGCCGGCCTCGAAAATAGGCGCGGTGCTGGCCCCGCCGCTGTTCGCGAGCACGCGCTCTGCGACGGCGCCCCCCTCGACGACTCTCCGCCGCGCCGTGCTCGTCGCTGCCGAGGCGGGCCCGATCCAACGTCGGCTCCAAATCACGTGCACTGCGACGGTAGTCCCCGCGATTCCCCACTACCCCGCGAACCTCGCCGCTGCTGGTCGCGCCACCCCGAAGCATGCCCGGGGCCAGTGCCTCATCACCTCGTGGTCGATGCTGGGGCGGCGGCCGCCCCGCGCCACCCGACCGCGCAGCGGTCGTCGCAACCGCAGCGCCTCGAGGCGCGGCCCCCGCCAGGGGCCCGCCCTGAGGACAACCGCCCGCTTGCGCAGAAGGACTGCCGCCAGGAGGCTCCGATGCGACGACTTGCGGGCCGGCGTGGGTCAGCCGCCAATGCGGGCGTCGCCTCGAAGAAGGCGCCGTGGGCCCGACCTGCCTGTCGCCGGGGACTCTGCGGAACATCTCGGCGATGCCGTGGAGCTCCTGCGCGCGGCGGTTGGCCATCTTCCGGCGCCCCTCGCGGCCTGCCACCGCGCGCCCGTCCGCGAGGCCCAGCCGCCTGCCAGCGCCTTGCCACCATGCGCTGGCACAGAAGTCCTCGATGATGTCGCCGATCGGACCCCCGAACAATCGCAGTGGGATCGCGCGCGGGGGATGGCTTCTCGAAATCAACATCAGGTTGAGGATATCCACGCGCTGCCCCTGCCATGTATCCTGGCCCCTGCTCTGGCTATCTGGGGGGCTGCGCCAGTGAAGCTGTGGGCCGCCCAGTCGCGCCAATCGTCGCGCGCGCCCTGGTAGTCGCGCTCAGCCTGCCGCTGCTCGGGGGGGTGGGGGGGGCAGGAGGCGGGGGCCCCGTGGGCGACGGGGGCTGCTCTCCAGGCGCGGCCTCTTCCTCGCGCCGCATCTCCACCCGCAGTTGCCGGCGGCGGCTTCTCCCCGCGCTGCGGCCGCAGCGACCGTGATCTCCGCGAGCAGGAGGGCGGCTAGGCCGACGCGGACGGCGGCGCAGCGGGGGGGTGCTCTCGCGCACCTGGCCGCGCAACGCCCGCCACAGCCGCGGCGCCTCGAGGCGCGGGCCCCGCCGGGGGCCCGCCATAATGACAACCGCCCGCTCCCGCAGAAAGACTGCCGCCAAGAGGCTCCGATATAGCGGCTCGTGGGCCAAGGGGGGGGGGCCAGGTGGGGGCTCTCGCCGCCCCCGTCGGTGGCGCCGTGGCGCTGCTGCTCCGCCGCTGCGAACGCTGGCTGGCGCCGCCTCTGCCACGGGTTGCGCCGAGGAGGAACTGGGCCATCTCCTGTGAAGTGCGCTCGTCGGCGGCTGCGCGCTGGAGACCTCTTGCACCGCGGCCGCTGTGCCCTGGGGAGATCCGCTGCTCCGCTGGCGCGCGGGGCTCGCCGGGGGGGCTGGCCGCTGGCCCCGCCGCGCTGGTCGTTTCGCAGTAGAGGAGGACAGCCCCCGAGCACGGGGCCGCGCGGCCCTGCCGCGAGAGCCTCGGCCCCGGAGGGGCCGTCGCCGCACAGGCCGCCCCGGCCGTCTGCGACGCCCGGCCGCCGCGCCCTCAGGCAGGGCGTGCTGGGAGCTGGCTGCCCGCTGTAAGTGGCCGCCGCAGCGGCCGCCCTGTCCTCCGACGGGCGGGGGTCGGCGGTGCTCGCCGCTGCCGCGCCAAAGGCAAACTCGGCCGTGCGTCTCCGCCCAGCCGCAAGAGCAGGGCTCGGCCTCCCCGTGCCCCGCGGCCCGGCGCGCGAAGGCCTCGCCGCCGCCTGCAGGGCCTGGCCGCGCAGGCAGTCGATGAACGCCGCGATCTGGCCCTCCGTGGCAGAGAGGGGGGCCGCGCGGGCGGCGGCGGCGGCGGCGCGGGGCAAGGCGGGGCCAGTCCGCCGGCGACCACGTGGGCGAGGGCGGCGCAGATGCAGCCCGCCTGGGCGATGGCCTTAGGGGGGCCAATGCGCGACGGGTAGATGCTCCTTGCGAACCTCCTGAGCGCCTCTGCATTCTCGCGGGAAGTGGTGCCCTTGCAAGCCGCCCTCAACCCCGCGCCCAGCGACGCGCTGCAGGCCCCGCACGTGCCGCAAAAGAAGAGGCCGTGGGAGGGCCACTCCAAGATGCGGCGCGCGTCGTGGAAAACCCCCGTGCCCATGCTGACTGGATTGCTGCGCGTGTTCTCGCGGACGTGGTCGAACGCGGCCCAGTCTACGGCAGTGGCGACGCACGGTCCCATGGCCGACTCCTCGAGCGTGGTCAGGGCGAACAGCTGGCGGCAGAGTAGGCGCTTCCACTTGCCTTGACCCAGCGCGACGAGCTGGGTCTCCGAGCTGCCGATGGCGCTCTGCAAGGGGGGATTGGCGGACAGTTGGCTCGCCGTGGGCCTCTCCGAGAGCCAGGGGTCGCAGCCTGCCGCGTCCATGACCGCCTGCGTAGCACGCCTTATGATCTGCGATGCGATGACCCCAACGGTCCGCGTGTGGCACGCTTGCAGCAGTTCCTTGCTCGGCGACGCGGGCTCCGAGGTCGGCGAGCCTGTCGTCGCAGCAGTTGTCAGTGGCCAAGAACAACGAGACGACGGGCTCGCCCTCGTCGTCCTGATGGGAGGGGGCCATGTGATCGTGACTCGTCTGTGAGGTTGCGCCCCGAGGGCTCTGCCAATGCGTGCCCAGAGGTTGCTGTTCCTGCCCTCGCCAGGGCGGGTCCAGCGCTGCCTCTGCCACGCAGAGTGGTCGGTGACGTAGTCGACGTCGGTGCCCGTGCGCTCGAGGGCCACCGCGAAGGCGTAGATCTCCCCGCGAGGGACCGCCTGCTTTCGACCTGGGAAAGTGGCAGTGGCCCCCGGCTGGAGCTGCCAGCGGCCGCTGGTGTCCGAGATGAGGGCAAGGCCGATGCCGATCCTTCTCCTGCGCGGGTCCGTGCTGTGTTTGCCGCCCGGGGCGTCGCCGAAGACGGTGAGCGTGCCTGCAGGAGGGCCAGGTCACGGATGACCGACCAGCACGTGCTGCCCCGCGTGGGACTGCGGTGGCGGCGGCATGGCACTCCGCGCTGATCTGTCGCTGCCGTGGCCACTGCCCGCTTACCGCCGCCAGGAGGAAGAGCAGGATGAGGAGGAGGAGGAGGAGGAGGAGGAGAAGGAGGAGGAGGGGGGCGGTGGAGGAGGAGGAGGAGGAGGAGGAGGAGGAGGAGGAGGAGGAGGAGGAGGAGAGGAGAGAGGAGGGAGGAGGAGGAGGGAGGAGGAGGAGGAGGAGGAGGAGGAGGGAGGAGGAGGAGGAGGAGGAGAGGTGGAGGAGGAGGGGCAGGAGGAGCCACACTCAGCAAGGGGGGGGGGAGATGTCCCAGTCCCAGGCGCCTTGTAGCACAGCTCGCACGTGGCCATAGCGACGGGCCATCGCCCTCGCACGGGCCTGAGCGAGACCTGCTATACTATACGACTTGCGACGGATGGCATTGCACACATATCTATATATATATATATATAGTGCATCATGTCTACAGCCACTGCCATACTAACGAGCTGGGGGATAGGCAAACAATTCCAGGCCCCGAAGGTAAACACAAGAGATGGATCCCCACAGCCCCAGGTTTCAGGAAGAAGGGGGAGGGAGGCCTTCACAGCATGTAAAAGACGGGGACACTGTAAACAATGTATCATACTGTTACCATTTTTTTCCGAGCCCAACACCAGCATGGACGAGTAGGAATAAAATACCTAGCTGAACAGTTCCAGTGATTACATATGGCCTTCAGGGCCGAGGAGAGCATACATTGTGGGACATACCGAGCAGCCTGCTTCAGCCTGAGACCCGTCAAGAATGCCTCCTGCTCGGAAATATCACTCCTGAACTTCCGAAGACGAGTAAATATGAGATCACCCATGTTCTTCCGACGTGCACAACTGCGCAGTAATTCATATGCCTTCGCCTGAAGACGGTTACATGCAGGATCAGCTGGCATATCTGAAATACTGCCAATCTCGGCCTTGACAGCCATGAGGTGGAATAAGACTGAGTTGTACACAAGTGGGTTCGACTTGTAAGTGAGCAACCAACCGGTATCTTCCATAATTTCATCATATATGTATTCCCACCTGGTATATGCTACACTCCTCACAATAACACGATAGGAAGCGGCACGGGCGTATATTTTGAGGTCCTTTACCTCGCGCTTAAAGCCCAAAGTGGACAGGTCAAGCATCATCTCGTGGCTGATGGCATTGAAGGGACCGTTGTGCAAAAGCTGCACGGCTTCATACCCGCGCCGAAGAACAGCGGCCGACGGTGGCAGAAGCTGGGCGACGTAGCTCAGCGTCGGGAGCGCAAAGATATTATACGTGAGGATGTTGGTACTGAACCCGTGCCCCATTACTTTAACTTTCCTAGCACGCGCTAGAAGTTTGTCCCCGAGGTCCGACCAGGAAGCTTTTTCTCCACCCGCACCGACAACAAAACCCAGGTATCTCCCACACGTAGATAACTGAAAATCAGATACGTCAAGCCCGTGTGCAGCAAACCTAGCTAGGGCAACAGCAGAGCTGACTCCTGCTGGGAGAAGGATCACCGTCTTGCCTGGGTGGATGTCCAAGCCAGTGGCCGTGCCGATCCAACGAAGCATAGGAAGGACCAAGGGAAGCGTAGCGAAGATGTCCTGGGAGGTAAGACCGAGATCATCAGCAAACGCATACAATGAGGCGGTCGGCGAGGACGGGATCCGATCTATCATATACCGAATGAAAAGGGGTCAGTGGGTAGCACATACAATAGCCCACTTACAGGGCATCCTTCCTTGATGCCGCGCCCAAGCATGAAAAGAGTACTCGTCGCACCAACGGACGCTAACAAAAACCCGCACCGCTTTATAGAGTTGACGAATCGCATGCAGAAAGAATCCAGGGATCTCCATCTTGTCAAGGATGTAGAAGAGGTAGTCGTGGGAGAGGGAGGGGAACGCGGTTTTCACGTGAGGAGGGGCAGGAGGAGGAGGAGGAGGAGGAGGAGGAGGAGGAGGAAAGGCGAGTTTTTTCCCCGCCGAAACAAACGGTGGGAGGTTGGGGTGGGGGGGGGGAGGAGTAGGTGGATGAGGATGGGTTCCTAGACGTGTGTTTTCTTGTCGGCTTCCAGGAGGTCGGGGTTCCTCGCAGCAGGAAGTCGTGGAGGAGGAGGACAAAACGAAAGACCTCCTGAGGTTAATCAACGCCCCTGCCGTAGCTGCAACGACGGAACACGATTACTTAGCCAACGTGAGTGCTAGTTCGAGGCTCGTGATTTCTAATGTGTTCCCAAGTGTTGCTAAGTTTTGATCGGTGTTGCTAGGGGGGCCCAGAGTGCAGTGGATATGGGCATCACGGGGCTCTCAGAGAGAGCGGGCGAACATACAGGCAGGAATTCTCGCTTAGCGTGTCGCGGCGGCGGCCCTGGCGACACGCTACGCCCTACGAGCTGATAGCGTGGCGCTCCGCTTCGCGGAACGAGCGGCTCGGATAGGCTCGGGACGTTGACGCCTGCGGACTGGGATGCGGATCACGTGTCGCACCCACGCGTGGTGGGCCAGAACTGGCGACGCGACACGCTAAGCCAACAGTACTGACCGTACTTGCCCATGCCCCCCCGCCTCCCGAGGCCCAGGGAGATCGGCTCCACGGACGATGGCCGCATACAGATCCGTGGCCTCGGCGGTTCAATGCTCCCGCGGGCAGGTCCTCGGGGAAGGTGGCGGAGAACATGATCGTCTGCCGCCCGCCCTCCCCGGGCTCGGGCATGCCAAAGTCCTGCAGGGGACGTGCGGGGAGCGGAAGGCGATGCACGGGCGGGACGCGCCAGCGCCTCGCGAACGACGACGACGACGATCATTTTGAAGACTGTTCGCTCTTACTGGCACGGGTGTTTTGCAGTCTGTATGCCCCAACCCTCAATACCCGCCCACTTCGTCTTCGATCGCACCCCCTTTCGGGGGGAATATATTCCTTGTCGGTCACTGATTGAAGTGCGAGGAACTCTCGAGCGAGAGCGCCATTCCTGAGTTCGGGGGTCTCTCTGGCCAGGCCAAGGGCTCTCGGAATCCATATTGAGCAATATCGAACGGGAACCCTTGTCGCCGTGTCTGGGCCTCGACCAGCTTGTGTGAAGCATGAGAAAATCTCGAGTGAGAGCGCCACTCTTGAATTCGGGGGTCTCTCTGGCAAAGGCCTCTGCGAATACATCTTGAGGAAGTATCGCACGAGCGCCCTTGTCGCCGTAGTTGGGCCTCCACCACTTTGACTGACTCGCGAGGACGTCTCGAGCCTCGAGCGAGAGCGCACTTCCTGAGCTCGGGGGCCTTCTGGCCAGGGGCTCTCGGAGTAAACCGTGAGGAAGTATCGAGCGGGAACCCTTGTCGTCGTGGCTGGGCCTCCGCTAACGTAACTGAATTGCGAGGAAGTCTCGAGCGAGAGCGCCGTTCCTGAGTTCGGGGGCCTGTCTGGCCAGGGTGTCTCGGGGTAAATTGTGAGGAAGTATCGATCGGGCGCTGTTGTCGTCGTAGCCGGGCCTCCAAGGGCCCACTTTACACCCAAGCCAATGCTTGAGCGGGAGCCTCGTTTTCAGAGAAAATGCAGCTGGCGTCGAGGCGAGAGCGCGGGGATCCGTATCCGGAGATCAACAACAATTATTATCAAGAAGTGAGTACTCGACGACGACGACGAAGACGACGACGACGACGGCGACGGCGGCGGCGGCGGCGGTGGCGACTCCATATCTCTGACGTCGTCATCTTTGCACGGCGTGGGCCCTGCTCGTCCTCGGGGTCGTCTCTCGTCGCGGGTCGCTCTTTGCGATGGCCTAGGGCCCAGAGATGGACCCCAAGGTCCCAGGAGACGGCCCGTCGTGACTGTTCCGCAACGCCTTGAGGTCTGGAGACGACGTCGAAAACGACGCTGACGCTGACAAAGGTGCTGTTGTTGTTGACGACGACGACGACGACGACGACGACGACGACGACGACGACGACGACGACGACTGTCAAAGTCCTCGATGATTTCGCGGATCTGAGGCTCGAAACCCATGTCCAGCATGCGGTCCGCCTCTCCCAGCGCGACAGGGGGGAAATCCGAGACACACACACACACACACACACCAGGCGCGACAGAGGGGAAATCCGAGACACACACACACACACACACACACCCGGCGCGACAGGGGGCAAATCCGAGACACACACACACACTCACACACACATACACACATTCGCACAAACACATACACGCACGCAAATTTGGCGTCGCGGCCACGCGCGCAGCGGCCCAGCGGAGGCAGAGTCCGGCAGAACGCGAAAGGAGTGCGGGCCAGCCCAGCTCACGCAGCGGGGGCGTGCTGGGTCTGCCCAGGACCACGCGGCATGCCTTGCGGGGTGGGAGCCGCATGGGGGGACGAAAGTGGGGAGAATGACCACGGGGGTGGGGAAGGCAAGACCCAACGGGTCGTGAAACGAACGCACACATATATATATACACACACACACACGCACGCGCACACGCGCGCGCACATTTGTGCTTCAATTAAGCCCTCCCGTCCAAAGGGCCCCTCCCAAAGAATGAGCACAACTGTCGCCCGCTGTGGCGAGCACCGCAAGGGAATGGTGAGGGCCCCATGGGCGTTCAGGACGGGGGGCCCGTGTCCTCATCATATCCCGCCCCCTCGTTCTAAAACCACATGCGACTCAGGTTTCCCCGCAACGCATCACGCGATCATTCACATCGACACCTGATAAGTTATGGTCAATGCCGTCCAACACAGCTGCCAGAATGTGGGCCCTAACTCATACTTCAATGCCGAAGACAGCAAGGATACATGTTAGGAGCACAACGAGTATAAGAAGACAGCATGGCAACAATGAGATAAGGATGAAATATGACAAGAGGAGGACGGAAGGCGACAGGAGGGAGGAAGAGGAAGGATTACATATTTGCCAGCGTGGACCCAAAACGATGCACTAATGCATTCTAGTTGTGGCAGCTATGTGATGCAAGCTAGTTGGTGTAAGCTATATGATACAATGTGTGCGGTGTAAGCTATGCGGCGCGAGCAAGAGGTGCAAGCTATGTGGTTCAAGCTGCCTGGTGTATACTGTGTTATGCAAGCTATACGGTGCAACATACGTGCAAGCTGGGCTGTGCAAGCCGTGGTGCAATATATGTGGTGCAAGCTGTGCTGCGTGTGGTGTAAGCTATGCTGTGCAGGCTGTGTGGTGCAATCTATATGGTGCATGCTCGAGAGTAATTTGCGCGGCCGCCCAGCGCACGAGGCGCACACGAGGCGCCCACGGGTGGGCACCAAGCACGACCTCAGCTGACTCACAGACACGAGATGCCCACGAGGCGCCCGCCAACCGGGCACCAGGCGAAACCTCAGTTGGCCCACTGCGTTCCTTGGGCAAGCCAAGCAAGACATGCAAGCACTGTTGGGGGAGTTGCGATGCACGTGAGGTCTCGAAGTCATCGGAGACTGCTGATCGGACGGAGGACGCAGGAGGGCAGCGGGATGAGAGATGAAAAAGGGCGGTGGAGGGGGGCTTCGTCTAACGCCAGGAACTTCACGTTCTCCACGCTTATCACCCCGCGCTTGAGGAAATCGACCAGGCGCCCAGGGGTGGCTATGACGATCTCGGGGCCCTCTGGTGCAGCGCCCTCCTCCTCCCCCTGCCCCTCATCCTAGTCCTCGTCTCCTCCTCCTCCTCCTCCTTCTACCTCCTCTTCCTCCTCCTCTTCCCTTGCTTCCTCGACCATGGCCTTGCCATCCACCCGCTCTGTTTCCTCGCATCAGTCCATTGTTGTATCTCTCTATCTCCCTGTCTACATGCATGCGACACATGACTATATGTGTACATATATATACATATGCAGCACACCGTAAGCATGTGTATACATGGATAGACACGTAGCTCTCTCCGCCTCTCCTCCCTCACCCCGTCCTTACTTCCTTCTTTCCAGCGCTTCGGGCGGCTGCATGCCGCCACTGGCCGAGCGCCCCCCCCCCGCTGGGCCACGCGGTCTGAGGACCAACGATCGCTTGCGGTTCACATATTGCCGCCTGCGAGTGCACTTCTCCATGGCCAGAGACCCAGGCGCGGGCTGCCCCACTTGCGGGTTGCCTGAGGCCTGGGCACCCTGGGGAGGGCGGCCACCAATGACGCCCATTCGCGGAGAGACCGACGGGGGACCTGCGTTGCCAAGCCGGCGGCCCGCCGAGACCACGCCACGGGCCGTGGGCGTTGATTCCCCCGCTGCCTCTGGCGACCACACTGCTCAGGCGGCGCTGCACAAAGTCACACAACTCCCGCGCCTCTCGCGATGCAGTTGCTGCCTCAGCCGAGTCTGCTAAAAGGCGCCAGTCGGCCAGTACGGTTGGTGATACTGGCGCCGCTCTCGGCGGCGCCGCCCTGCGCCACTGTGCTGTCCGCCTAGCAATGCATGGTGATGTGGGAGGCCAACTGAAGACTGTTTCCGCAGATGCGGCAGACGGGCATGTATCCGACGTTGTCTGCCCGGAACGCTCACTGGAAGGCCAGCTGCCCGCGAGCGGGCATCGGCGAGGGCATTCAACGGGGAGGAGGAGGGAGAGCACCCAACCCTAATGGCTGGCGCGTGCCAAGCCGTCCCGCTGGCAGGGGTGCTGCCAACACTTCTGATCGCGATGGCGGGCGCCTGGTGAACCCGGCCCACTGGACGTGGGCCCACTGCTTCTGCCTGGCTGCGCGCAGGGCCAGAGCTGATGTGCGCAGGCGCCGAAGGCCGAGATCTCGGTTGACCGCGCCCATGGCCGCTGTCCGCGCGATGGGTGGGTCTGTGCGGCGCGACCGTCATGACCGGAACGGTGGCCCTCGAGCACCCTCATCCCCCGCATGGTGGCCAGCTCTGCGTAGACCGCGGAGAGCCGTCGCCAGTCCAGCTGTTGCAGGAGGGCTGCCCGAAGGACCCGCCCTGTGATGCCGAGTGCCTGCTCACTCCACCTGTCCTGCACCTGGTTGCAAGTTCGGGCGAAGTCCGACAAGTGGGCGCAGAGCTCCTCCACTCCGCACAGCGACGAGGAAGCGGTGCGCGCCAGCGGCGCAGACATTTGGTCCGCGGTGGGGAAGCCCGCCAGCTCCATGGCTGCGAGGTGTTTGCAGCCTTGCAGGCCTACCGCCTCAGCGCAAGAGAGCAGGTGGGCACACCCGGGAGCTCCTTCACTCCTCCTCAACATTTGTCTTTTCCTCCTCACTCCTTCTCACCCCTGCGGCAGGCGCCGGCTGGAGCGAGAGCTGGGGCAGGCGCTGCTGGGGCGCCCAGCCGCGGACGAAACGGCGGAAACAGCGGGCTGCCAGCCACGGGGCGGCGCGGCGGCATTGGCCGGCCGACGGGCCACAGGACTTGAGGCGACGGCGGGCGACGCGGGCTCGGGGAGCGCCACCGTCCTCGTGGTCTCCGTGGCGTTCCGGTGTGCGGTTGTTTCTGTAGGCCCCCGAAGACGGAAACGTGCAATTGCACCAGCAGCCCCCCATCGAGACTGTGACTACAATGAACGGTGAAGATGAAATCGCACTTTGGGCGCGAGCCTCCGCGACCCGTCGGTTTTCGGATGCACCAGGCGCCGACACAGGTAGTCAGTGCACGTCGCAGAAGCAAGCGTCGTAGTGCTGCACCCCCACCGCCGCGCTAGCTGCCAAAGCTGCCCCCTTTCCTTGCCCAGGAGCGGCCGCCGTTTTGCGCGTCGCTCCCGATCAGTATGTTCGGGCGGGTTGCGTGCGCCGCACGAGGAAGAGGAGGAGAAGGAGGATGAGACTAGAAATGAGGATGTAGAGGTGAAGCGCGTACTTTTCAGTAGTGCGGTGTATAAGGCGGATGTTATAAGGCGCGTGTAAGGCGGGCACGGAGGCTCAAATGACTTCGCGCACCACAGCAAAAAACGGCATCGGCAAGGGGAGACCGTTACAAGGCATAGAGGGCAGAACCTTTCGAGTATGGTGCTCAAACGAGTCCGTCGTGCCTTCGGAGAAAACTTTAGTGGAGAGCTCTGCGAGACGCCCCTTCACTAAACAAGCCCAGGCCGCGACAGCACAACAAGAGGGTTTTACAAACCGCCCCTTCATAAGAAATTGCCTAGCCGCGACAGGACACGCTCACCTGGCTCCGACATGTCCCGGAGCTATCAAACTTCACTTCGTCCAGGGGGGCACATTGGCCACAGACGGCGCCAACCGCAAACATTGTCTGACGGCGCCAGTGGCAGGGATGAAGTTACCCCTGACAAAACTTACGGGACTCGTCAGAACACGCAAACTTGTCCCCCCCAAACTGTATGATGCGAGAATATTGAACGAACAGCTGGTGAAGACCTGCGAGCTGCACGAACACAGTCCGCGCAAGCCCACTCACTTGCGCGCTCAACTATATATGCTCAGGGCAGAGGCCAAAAATCGGTAGACGATGATTTGGTGTTTCCGCCGGAGGCGCCGTGGCGCCCTGCCCAATACCGCCGCCCGTGAGGAAGCGAAGAAAGGTGTCGCCAGCCATTCGGACACATTCTCGAAGTGGCCACCTCTTCGTTGTGCTGACACCCTCACCCCAATATGCGCGCCGCATTCGCTCGAGTGAGGTAGCAGTAGCAGTAGTAGTAGTAGTAGTAGTAGTAGTAGTAGTAGTAGTAGTAGTAGTAGTAGTAGTAGTAGTAGTAGTAGTAGTAGGAGTAGTAGTAGTAGTAGTCGTAGTAGTAGTAGTAGTAGTAGTAGTAGTAGTAGTAGTAGTAGTAGTAGTAGTAGTAGTAGTAGTGCAGTATTAGTAGTAGTAGTAGTAGTAGTCGTAGTAGTAGTAGTCGTAGTAGTAGTAGTAGTAGTAGTAGTCGTCGTGTAGTCGTAGTAGTAGTAGTAGTAGTAGTAGTAGTAGTAGTAGTAGTAGCGTAGTAGTAGTATAGTAGCAGTAGTAGTAGTAGTAGTAGTAGTAGTAGTAGTAGTAGTAGTAGTAGTAGTAGTAGTAGTAGTAGTAGTAGTAGTAAGTGGCAGTAGTAGTAGTAGTTAGCAGTAATAGTATATAGTGGTAGTAGTAGTAGTAGTATTAGTAGTAGTAGTAGTAGTAGTAAAAGAAGTAGTAGTAGTAGTAGTAGTAGTAGTAGTGTAGTAGTAGTAGTAGTAGTAGTAGTAGTAGTATAGTAGTAGTAGTGGTCTATTAGGTAGTAGGTAGTAGTAGATAGTAGTAGTAGTAGTAGTAGTAGTAGTAGTTAGTAGTAGTAGGTATTAGTAGTCAGTAGTATAGTAGTAGTATTAGTAGTAGTAGTATAATCGTAGTAGTAATAGTATTAGTAGTAGTAGTAGTAGTAAACTAGTAGTATGAGTTAGTATTGTAGTAGTAGTAGTAAGTAGTGTAGTAGTAGTAGCGTGTAGTAGTAGTAGTATAGTAGTAAGTAGTAGTATAGTATAGTGTAGTAGTAGTAGTAGTAGTAGTAGTTAGTAGTAGTAGTAGTAGTAGTAGTAAGTAGTAGTAGTAGTAGTAGTAGTAGTAGTAGTAGTAGTAGTAGTAGTAGTAGTAGTAGTAGTAGTAGTAGTAGTAGTAGTAGTAGTAGTAGTAGTAGTAGTAGTAGTAGTAGTAGTAGTATGTCGTAGTACGTAGTAGTAGTAGTAGCAGCAGTAGTCGCAGTGGTACTAGTAGTAGTAGTGTAGTAAGTAGTAGTAGTAGTAGTAGTAGTTAGTAGTAGTAGTAGTAGTAGTAGTAGTAGTAGTAGTAGTAGTAGTAGTAGTAGTAGTAGTAGTAGTAGTAGTAGTAGTAGTAGTAGTAGTAGTAGTAGTAGTAGTAGTAGTAGTAGTAGTAGTAGTAGTAGTAGTAGTAGTAGTAGTAGTAGTAGTAGTAGTGGTGGTCGTGGTAAGAATGGGTGGTCATTCACGCGCCGCTTCGTCCAATAATGCGGGGACAGGGAACAGCGGAGGGAACGAGGGGACCTCTCGAGGGCGTCTCGGGGGCACAACATGCCCGTGAACCCGCCGCTACGATGACGACGATGGTGAGGGTGCTGAACACGGTGGTGAAAGCGGACAACCCGCCGGACTTAGCCCCGTGTCAGGAGCCTCTCAGAAGCTTGCAGAGGCCTCTCAGAAGCTCTCAGAAGTTTTCAGAGGCCTGTCAGAGGCCTCTCAGAAGCTCTCCGAAACTCTCAGAAGCTCTCAGAAGCGTTTACAAGCCTCTCGGCCTCTGAGAGGCCTCGCAGAGGCCTCCCACAAGCCTCTCAGAGGCCGCCCACAGGCCTCTCAGAAGCCTCTCAGGAGCTTGCATAAGCTCTCAGAGGCCTCTCAGAGGCCTCGCGCAGCCTCTAAGAAGCGTCCATAAGCTTTCAGAGGCCTCTCAGAGGCCTGTCGGAGGCTCTCAGAAGCGCTCAGAAGCCCCGCAAAAGCTTTCAGAGGCCTCTCAGAGGCCTCTCAGAGGCCTCTCAGAAGCCTCTCAGACGCCTCTCAGAAGCAGAAGCCTCTCGGAAGCCTCTCAGAAGCCTCCCAGAAGCTTCTCAGAAGCCTCTCAGAAGCCTCTCAGACGCCTCTCAGAAGCCTCTCAGACGCCTCTCAGAGATTCTACCGGGGAATCAATCCAGGGAAGGCTTGCACCGGGGAGTGTCCGATTTCCCCGGGGAAAATCCGATTTTACCGGGAAAAATCTTTTTGTCCGTGGCGCGCGGGCCCGCGGTTGTAGAAGCTGCGCCGGCGTGCTTCGGGGCGCGCAAACCCAGCGGAGGTGCGCGCCGTGCTGTTCCACGGGGCCGTCGCGCAACCCGGGGTCGTCGGCGGCCATCTCCTTCCTCTCCGAGCTGGTGGCGTCGGCGTCGGTGCTGAATCGATCTCCGCCGGCGGGCGCGCCCCCTGCGCCGGCGGTGCCGCGCCAGGGGCGCAGCCGCCAGACGCGGCCTCGACCGGCGAAGGGGGGCTCGGCGCCGATCCCACTGCAGCAGGGCCCGCGCCGCCCCTTCTCTGCTCCAGCGCGGGCGCGCCGTTGGGCGGAGTGGGCCGCCGCGGCGAGATTGCCCGGCGATCCCTCTATCATGCGCCTAAAGCATCTCAACTGGCCCGTCGAACGGGCGAGCTGCCGAGCGCTTGCGGGGCGCGCCGCAGCGCTGCGGGGGCATGGCGAGAAGCGCGTTCGAAGCGCCAACGGCGCGCGGCGCGCGCGGCAGAAGAAATCTGAGCCCCTCGTAGCCGATGATGAGTTGACAGGCTTGCTGCGCCCGCTTGCGGGGGATGTCGAATCACGTTGGGAAGTTGTCGATGCGCCCCTGCTGCAGTCGGTTAAAGTCCATCAGAGCCGACGCTACCGAGGCGCGCTCCTCCTCGCCCAGCTGGCCGCATCGTTCGGCCAAGCTGTGCATAAGGAAGGTTATAGGTGGCACTGGGTTGCCGTTGATGAGACCTCCCTGGATCAGGACAGCCGTCGGCCATTCGCCCACGTGCTCGCGCGCAATGCTGGCAAGATGGGACGAGACGTGGGCCGCCTGGCGAAATTCGTTGGAGTCAGAATTCGCCGCTGAGCAGATCATCACCTCGCGCGCCCACGTCTGCAAAAAAGCGCGCGAGCACGGCGCTCGGGCCCCCAGGCGCGGGTGGCGCATCATCGCCTGCGCCCGCGCAAGCGACGCAGCTTGCGACGGCGGACATGCCGACCCCGATGGCCTTCCATCCAAAGTGTAGCTCCCTCGACATGTCGCGGAAGTGCTGGGCGCTGGGGATCCTCGAACGGCGTTGCACGAGTCGCCGACACTGCAATGCTCAAAAGACTCGGAGCATCCCGCGACACAACCACGGGAATGCTGTTCGAACGTCGCGCGGTCACTGCGCTGGGCGCCGCCAAGTGCACAATCGCCTAGAGCAGCGCGCATCGGGATCCCGCCCTGCCCGGCCGGCGGGTCTGAGCAAGTAAAGCGACGGGTCGGGGCCCGAGGTGTGGTGCCTCGGAGTGGTGGTGCCCCAGTCGTCACGCCCTCCGCCGCAGTGCCTCGGGGGGTTGAAAACGCGCTTCCGATGCTCCCCACTGCGTCCCAGCTCGGCGCCAGCGACGCAGTCGCTGGATGCCGTTCCTCTGATTGCTTCTCCTAAGGCTCTCGCGACACACTCCCAAAGAGCTCGGGGCCTTGTTCTGCAACCGCAGACGGACGTAGTATAAAGTAGCTGTATAACGCAGGAGGCCACCCGAACTGGCGGGCGGCACCGACAGCTTGGGGACCGCGAGCTGCCTGGACACACTCCCAGCATGCCCGGAATGGGTAGCAGAACGGCCCTTTAGATCTTGGTGGTGTTGTCCTTGATGAAGTACTGGTTGCGCACGCTCCCGGTCGCGGGTCCTGGCGAATGAGCCGGCGCAGCCTGCGGACCCTAGAACAACGCCCCCTGCCAGGGCCAAAGGGAGGAAGTGCGCGAAGGCGGACCTGTTGAAGGCGATTGGCCGAAGTCGAAGGGGCCGGAAGGTGGAAGTCATTGCGGTCGATGCGAAGCGAAACGTGCCGGCCGTGGCGGGAGAAGGGGTGAACCTGCTCTGCTACCGACCAGAAGCGATGACGTAGAGGTGAAAGGCGTATTTTTCAGTAACGCGGTGTGTATAGCACCTGGTATACAAGCGCGTATAAAGCGGGCACGGAAGCTCGGCCAACAAAAAACGGCGTCGGCTGAGGGAGACCAGCACAGGGCAATGAAGGCAAACACGTGGACAGACCTACCGTTCGAAGGGGAGGAGGAATATGGGGAGGAGGAGGAGGAGGAGGAAAAGGAGAAGGAAGAGGAGCAAAACGAGGAGGAGGAGGAAGAGAAGGAAGAGGAGGAGGACGGAGGTGGAGCGTGGCCGAAAGGCGAGTACGATTACACAGGAGATCTTCCACCCGCCACTAGGTGGCGAATGAGCGAGGGCGACAACCCCTTATATAATAACCTAAACGAAGAAGCAGTACAAGACGGGAAAGCAAAAGTAGAGAAAGAATGTGATCAACAAGTCGGATCTATGAAGCCGTCGCAAAAGAGGACCACGAAGTGCACGATGACTCAGTCGACGTCCGGCTCCGGAGGCATTTCCGAAGAGAGTTGGCCGCGCAGCAGCCGGGGCAAAACGACGCGCTGCGAGTCGACCGTCTCCACGTCGTCGCCTGGCCCGTCTCCGAAGATCTGCGACATCCTCATTTGCTCGAACTCTTCTGCTTCAAACTGGTCATAGATAGTGTTGAACCGCTCGTAGTTGATGGGCTTGGCCGACCGAGCAATCCACGCGGGCAGATTCGAAGATGGCACCGGCGCAGAGGTGGCCTCGTCGATCAACCGTACACTCGGATGGGAGAAAACGCAGTCGCGCCTGTGACAATCACGACCATACCGACAGAAAGTCGTACTCGGCGCACTTTCACAGGCTGAGTTTGAAGCACGAGCTCTGGGCCCAGGGCTGCGCGACTGCAGTCGGGATGTGGCGGAGGTGGCGCAATACAGCTTTTGTCCGAGGAGCGCCAACTGCGCCTCGACAGCTTGAACCCGGTCGTTGAACTCCTCAAGCATGTTGTCTACAGTCTGCTCGATGCTGCCCATGTCCCCCTCATCGCCAGCAGGCGGAGACGAACCGACGCCCGAAGCGACCCGCTCCGAGAGCACAGACACCTGCATAGCAACGCTCTCAGACAGACGATCAAGTAGAGGCACCACCGATTTCTCAAGCGCGCCTGGAAGAGTATGAGACATTACCTGAGAGACCGTATCTGAAGTAAAGCCCGCAAGCGATTGTGTAACAACAGGTAAGAATTATTTCAAAGCGCTCTGGATTCTGCTACCGATCAGTGCAATATTATCCTCAAGCGTGTCCTCCGGAGCGGAGCGGCACTGATGCGGAGAGCCTCCCCCAGAGTTGGCCGATGAGGGAGAGCACTGAGAGGAGGCAGAGGCCGAAGAGCTCGCCGAGGAGACGCCAGAACCAGACGCATGCGCCTCCTTCGTCAATATGCCCTGCAGCTGAGCAATCCAACTGTTTTGAGCGTCGACAAGAGCTTGGTAGGCAGCGAGCTGGCCATCGTACGACCTTTGGGCTGCCGCCAAAACCTCTGGCACCGAAAACTGCTCCAGCCCTGGAACAGGAGCTGCAGCTGGATGAAACTCCTGGGCTTTAGGGTTCAGCGGATGCGAAGACCGAGCATGGCCACGACAGTATCGAGGTGCACAAGCTCGCTGCGTAATACATCGATCAGGGTACGCAGCTTTCAGTTCATCCTCCAGTGATGCCATAAACTGTTCCTCCCACTGCGTGGCGTAGTGCCTGGCAAACTGGAACGCTATGCCGATATGCTGCAACCGACGTCGCGTAGCATTCGGTAGAGTATGACGATGGGCGTGTGCAGCCATCTGCAACCCATTGAAATGACGATCCGCATACGCAGCGAGAAGACGCATCGAGCGGCCAGACAAATAAGAAAGATGACCACTGACAACGTCCATGACTGCGAGTACACACTGGACGATCACACAATCAAGAAGAAAGAACCATGCCGAGGCTCGCTTGAGCCGCACGTCAAAATATGCCGTCTTGGGCCGCAATGGCTACGGAAGAGCAGGAAGACGGAGGACGAGAAGGAAGGAGGAGGAGAACGGAGGATGAGGGAGGAGAAGGGGAGGAGACGGGACCAGGATGAAGGGGGAAGCAAAGGGAGGTTCGGTTCGGTTTGGCAGTCAAGGAATGAAGGGTCAAGTCATTTCAGCTGGGTCAGCGCCGAACCAATTACAGCGGGATCATCATCACCTCAGGCACTCGAAGGCGAAGGGACATTAAACAGGCGAGTGAGGCTTCAGTGGCCGCAGCAAAAATGGTAGACATTCGCAACACACACATGAGGCTGCACAGGCCATCAACAAAACAAACGAAAAACCTTCGCAGGACACGCGTGAGGCTCCAGGAGCCACTATCAAAACATAATCAGACGCTCGCCCAAGAGGAGGAAACAGAGGAGCAGGGAGGCGCCCTTTCCCTCCCTCACAGGGCGACCTCCGCCAGCTGCCTCAGCTGTGGCTGCGCCGGCGCGCCCCCGTAGATGGCGACCACCTTGCGTGGAGCAGGCCAGGAGCCAGAGCCCACCGACCGCCCCATCGACCATCGACCGCATCTTTCCTTCGCCCTCGCCACCGGGCGACGTTCGAGGCACGATCCGTTCGGACTTATCTGGGCCTGTTTAGGCCTCTGGAGTCCTCTGGGCCTCTGGGACCTCAGCGGAGACCTCCGGGGGCCGCCCGCGCGGGGACCTCGGGAGACCTCCAGCGGACGGCTCGTAACCGCCCCGCATCCTCCGGGAGCAGGGGGAGCGGGGCCTTTTTTGCTTTGATCGGGGGGGCTCCTTGGGGGGGGCCCTCGTCGCCACGGCCGATTCGCCTCGAGGCTCTGCTCGGGGAGGCGGCGAGCGCCTGCCACCGCGTCGCGGAAGAAGCCACGCCAGGTGCCCAGCAGGTCGGGCCCCGGGGCCATCGTGGATCGACCCGGCCAGGGGACTCTCGCACCAAGGCTGCGGTCGGGAGCGTTTGCTAAGCGTGTGGCGGCGGTGGCCGAGTCGACACGCGATGCCTTGCAAGCGGATGGCGTGTTGCTCCGCTCCGCGGGGCGGGAGGCTGCGAAAGGCTCGGCACGCGAAGCACAAGTTTCCGATTGCTGGGTCGATAGGCTCCGCTAACCCTAGCTAAGGTTTTTAGGCCCCACCAACTAGAGAAACTAAACATATTCTCGAAGCCCTTATTGACAGACTGGGGTCCCACCAATCATGGACAGAAACAATTTCTCTGCCGCACCCGCTGCGCGACAACAACGACGACGACTACGCTGCGGAGGAAGAGGAAGAGGAGGAGGAGGCGGAGGAGCAGGAGGATGAGGAGTGGAAGGAGAAGGAGGAGGAGGAATAGAAGTGAGGAATTTTATTCCCCGCCGAGACAAACAGGGGGGGAGCAAAACTAAGGATCCTTAGGGGTTGTGGTGTTTCTCTTGCTCTGCAATTTTCCACGAGGCTCATGTTGAGCGTGCCCCCTCGTTCCGATTGCTTGCGGCGCACATCGCGTTGCCGGCTCTTTTCCCTGACAGCGCTCTCCTGAAGGGGGCTCTCACTGACTGGCTTAGCACCTCACGCCAACTCTTACCCGCGCGACATCCACATGTTTCAATACCCGCCGTTCGCATGACGAGCCAAACTACAAGAGATCGCACAGCATATGCCTACGGCGCAAACTAGACAGTCACCGAACTGACGTGGAACGCCACTCTAGCCGACCTTTAGCACCCCCACCACCCGCGTGCCCTGGGGCGGTGCCCCTCGAGCGAGCCTCCTGCAGGCCTCCCCGAGCGTGCCTTCTCGCTCGCGGCGCGCCCCGAGCTGCCAGCGCAGCTCCCAAGCGCGTCGAGCAGGCGTACCCGCTCGCTTCCACAGCACACCACGCGGACCGTTCGTTGGCGATGTATTGGTGGAATCGCGGGTCGCCGATGTCCTGCGCGAAGACGTGTCCGAGGCTGTTGATCTCTCGATAGGTGGGCAGACAATGGTGATCCTGAGAGCTGGTGGCGGCGCGAGAATGGGTGTGATGAAGCGTGGTGTAGCTGACCATATAGTGAAGGCATGTGTGGCGGTGCCCTAGGTGAAGTTACGATCGTGTCGCTGATTGTGGAATGCGATGTTGGCCTCTGAGGTGGTGTGTGTTTTGCAAATTGTGTGGCTCGCTGTGGTGGCGGCTTTTTGGCTGGTGGCATGTGTGTGTGGGTGGCGGTGGGGTTAGACCTGTGTCGCATCTGTTGTTTGTCGTGTGAGCGGTGGTCTGATTGTCATCGTCGCTCGAGCTGGTGGTAGACGTCGGCTGCATGGGTCTGGCGGTGCTGTGTACCGCCGTCGGGTTGCAAATATTATGTAGGAGTGCCATTGTGTCGTAGATGACTGCCCGGTCGCACTTCATTTTGTTGCTGTCGTCGCGGCAGGTGTTGGTCCATTGCGCAACTTCCTGGATGGCCTTGATCTTTTGTGATTCAATGTGGCAGGGCTGCCTGTGAGTAGTGAGTGGAAGTGCTGGTTGGTGGTGGTTGCTGCAAGTCTGGATGCTTGATTAATACGATATTGGCTGGCAAACGCTAGCGTGTCGTCGCCATATCGTACAGTCGGGGCGTTGACCGAAGGAACCCTAAATAAGGAACGAGGCTCCTTTTTCCCATAAGTTAACCTTCGATTTCCTGTCGAAAACATAAGGAAAGCCTGAGGCAAGCTGTGGAACACTTAAGGAACGCGGAGCCCCTCCCCAACGAAAAGGGTTCCTTCTTCAGGGCCCCGACTGTAAGCCATGTTGGTTGTGCGTGGGTTTGTAGGATGATAAGAACGCGTGAGCGTGTTTTGCGTTCTTGAGTTTGAGGTACTTGGTTCGGCTAATGCGTGGTACGTTGGAAATCAGAAGAGGTATTGTTTGTGGGTCGGGTCGTAATGGAGGGCGTGAACAATATTGCTGGTCTCGGTGTATGAAGAGTTCGTTGGTGAACTTGTCCAAGTACCTGTGCCAACCTGGTAAGAACAAATGGTCGCTTGGGAAACGGTACGTGTAGGTGTTGGTGGCTTCACGGTAGTAGACTGCGTACTGTGTCGGTGGAAAAAGTATATGTCCCTCTGGCGGCGGTTTGCACTCGTAGCTGACGCCGGGTGGTGGTCTGTCTTGGTTTGTTCGCTTGGGCCAGGCAACTAAGTTCGGTATACGCTGCTGTGGTGGCATAGTTGGTATGTGGCCTGCACGTGTCAGCCGAATTTCAAGTTCGCCTTGAACAAAGTTGTAGTGTGGATGGTCGTGTGGAATGTTCGTGGGTATGATGACGCCGTCTTTTGGTCTTGAGGTTCCTTGGGGGTCTGAACTGGAATCGAAGACCGCTGGGGTGGGGTAATTCAGGCGTAGGCTGTGGTCGGATGCAGTTCGGGTTGCGTTGTTGGTGGATAAAAGGCGTAGTGGGGTGTACTTCGGTACTTGGCGTTGGGGCGAGGTGGCAAAGGACTTGGGGCCACATGGGGTTGGCTGCCGTTGGTGAGGTCAATTCGTAGTGCGTGGGAGGCGTCGGTCTTTGGGGTGGGAAGTGGTATATTTTTTCGCGTACCGAACCTGTCCGTGCGTCCAACAAATCGCATTCGTAGTCAGTCGCGTCGTGAAGCTCTACGTATTCAGGTTGGTCGTATGTGGATGGTGGTGTAATGTGTATGCGCTGCTTCTCCAGTATGCATGCGGCCCAGAGTGGGTACAGTGTCGATGCACCTGAGGTGTGTAGGGCGTCTGTAGGTAAGTGGTTAGTGGCAGTAGCTCTGAGCCTGCTGCAATCTTGTTTTGCGGATCAGTTATTGAGCTGGGGAACGTAGTCATGTTGTCCGTGGTGAACTTGGCGCGTACGCCCTAGTCCTCGCCGATCTGGAATTCGCATCGTTTGTCATGCTTGTGGAGGAAAATGCTGTACGGGTTCTCGTTGAGGCGTCTTGCGGTGAAGTCCAAGTTGAGACGAAGGTGCCTTAGCCTTACCATGTTGTTGCCGATGTCGTGGTGGAGGTTCTGCCAGGTAATTTAGACGAGCGGGCGTCGTCGAAGTTTGTAGTCGGGAGGATCGTCGTCCACAAATGGTTAATGGTCTTTGTGGTAGTCGGCGCGTCTGTAGTACGGGGTACTGGCAGGTCTCTGCGGCCAGTGTGTGATGATATTAGAGTGGGGTGAGTATGTTACCCACTTCTGTAGAGCTGATTGAAGTCAATTCTGCAAGAGCGTGAAATACTGCCGGTTGATGTCGGACAAGCAGGCTATCGTGATGAAAGTCTGTCTTCCTTGGACGTGGGTTCTGGTACGTACTCGGATCTCATGTGTAGGGAAATGTACACGTGGTTTTCGTCGATCCGTGCGTCGGTCGTGTTGTTCTGTCTGTTCGGCTGTGTTTGTGCTCGAAGTACGCGTGCAGACGATTGGTCGTGTTGTGCGGGGCTGGCAGTGCGTAGTAGCTCGTGCTGGTTCTTCTTGTGTCGCGTTTTGAGTAGTGGTGGAAGTTCGTCGTTGCCGTCGTCTTCGTATTGTTCGGTCGAAGATCAATATTGTTGTTCGATGGCTAGTTTCCGTTCTCAGGTACGCTGGTCCTCACTTTTCTCTGGGCACGTCATGTGAATGGAGAGGGAAGGTAAGTAGAAGCGTGCGGCGATTGCCCACTTGTCCGTATGTACAACAAACATGTCGGTCGCTGCCGGAATGGATGGCACCTGTGTGGCACCTCCGAACATGGCGCGAATATGTAGGGCGATGAAAGCCGAAACCATTGTAGTAATGCAATAAATGTTTGAGCATGGCTGATACGGTATCTGCTGCGAGAAGTATGGTATTATAACCGAAGGTACACAGTCTAGTAACTCGTCTGGCCCCTACCTGAGGTATGTCTGTCGGCTTCCATTCCAGGTCTGGGGCTGAAATTGCGTATGTCATCTACCAATGCCCTGTGTGCTCCTACCTAAGGCATGCCTAACGGCATACCTCAGGCAAGAGCACATGGCATACCTCAGGTATGCCTTACGGAATCCGCCGATCCGGCGTGTGAGTTTGAAAAGGTCTCAGCTACAGCCTACAGCCTAGAGCCTGAGCTTCAGTTCTGCTGGGGTGGGGTCGGGGTGGCTCTGCTGGGGAAGCGGAGGGGGGAGGGGACGAGTTGTGGTCCGCTTTCCGAGGGGGGGGGGGGGTCCGGGCCCACGAGGGCCCCAAAACGGGCCAGAGGGCCCCAAGACCCCCCCAGACGGCCCCAGAACCCCCCGAGACGCCCAAAGAGCGCGACAAGAAGCCGAAGATGACCTCCAGACGGCCCAAGAGGCCGCCGAGACGCTCCAAGAAGCCTCCAAGAGCCCCTCAGAAGAGGACCATTTGATGCCCAAACAATAATTTTTTAGGATGGTTTTGGAAGGATTCTGGCCTTCCCGCCTTTTCGGCTTCCCGACGCTCCAAGACGGCCCCAGAGGCCCCCAAGATCGCCCCAAGACGGCCCCAGAGGCTCCCAAAATGGCCCCAAGACGGCCCAAGAAAGCCCCAAGACCCATTCGTCGGTCGTCGTCGTAATGATCCCACTCGTCGACCGTTGGTCGTCCGTTGTCGTCGTTATCGTCCATCCCGACAATAGCATCAAAAGCGCCCTGGATGGGCGGCACTGGCCAGAAGCCACTACAATATACCTCAGGGGGAATGCCGTAACGCATACATGAGGTATGCCTTACGGCACTCCTCCTCCTCCTCGTCCTCCTCCTCCTCCTCCTCCTGCTCCTCCTCTTTCCGCCCCAAGGCCTGCCTCATCCTCCTCCTCCTCTCTTCTTTCGATTCCTCCTCCTCCTCGTCCTCCTCGTCGTCCTCCTCCTCCTCCTCCTCCTCCTCCTCCTCCTCCCCCTACTCTGTTTCAGATGGGCCTTCGCATCGGTCTTGAAGACGAGCCTGCGCGCCTCGTCGGCGATCTGCTGGCACAGCTCGCGCGTCGGCGCCTCGGGTTGCTCCGCATTCTCCTCC